TCCTCACCCACACTTGACCTCCTAACCCTATGGCTCACCTACACCCTAAAACTCACCATACCACTCACCCTCACCCTACCTCTGATAAAAAATACCCAACCCCCCACGCTGCACTTCAGCTTCCGCACACACCTACTATATACACACTAAAATTTAAATGCAACAACGCTGGCACGCACAGTGAAAAACCACACCATATCTTCTGTCCCCCCATACACTTTGTCAGTCTCTCATGCCTACACCACCAATGGCACTTTGGACAACTCGCCTCCCAAATGCACTTAGTATTGCCCTTACAGCACAACTCGTATCAAACACCAACACGGTGCACCATCAACACGCTTCTCAGCACCCCTCAGCCTTCTAATAAGCTGCAAATCCCCAACCACACTTCAACTCCAACCAGACTCTAAGTGTATAGGTGCGCCTGCCACTTTAAGAACCCAGAGCTACCACCACTCAGGTGCTTGATGAGCGCAGCCATTTTGAATCTCTTTCTTCCTATATAAACAGGGCAGTTGGCTGGCGCCACACCTAGGAAGAACCTCTCTTCAGTGAGGGCCTCCCGATATCACCTCCAGGTAAGAGCACAAGCTCCAATCCTGATCCTGCACACCACCTAACCCCGAACCCTGACAGCACACACTTTGCACAGCCTGCTCCCACCACCATGCCACTCCCCACAAAATGCCCATCCACAGACCACACTCAGAACAAGCTAGACCCCCAGAAAACAACATCAACCCCACAAACTTGCACCTCGCTCCAGCACCCCGACCTAACCAACGCTCAAGCCACCACCAAAAACCACTCACAACCAGCACCACCCACAAAAAACACACCTGCACTTTCCTCACCCCAACACCGACCCTAAGCCAAAAGCCTCACTCAGACTGGCACCCAGTCTCCACTCCAAACCACCCCCTGCACCCACACTTAAGCCAAAACCTATTGCCTAACCCTAACCCTCACAGGCACCCACAGCAAAAGCCAAAATAGCACCCTTTGCACCCCCTAAGCCTAACCCAGACCCACTCACAAATCTCACACCTGATACCTCTCCCCTAACCCAAACTTCAATCCACTCTCATACCCCACTCCTCACCCACCCCATAACCTACACCCACAGACACAGTCGAAGCCACGGCCACATACCCTCCTCACCCCTAACCCGCACCAAAAGGAAGACATCACGGTCCCTCCATACCACAACCCACGGCCTAACGCCGACCTGAACCGCAAAACACATTTGCACCCCGTAGCCACCACCCTCCTCCTAACCCACTCCTCCACACACACGCAAATCACTCCCCTAACCCGAACACTCAGCCTAATGCTAAGCTGCACCCGCACGGTTTACCACACCTGTCCCATCACCCCAACCCACTCCCCACCCCAAATGCCAAACCACATTCAATTAAGAACCCACACCCTCCTCTACACACACACTCACTCCTGCATCCACTCCCCAACTCCAACACTCACGCACACCCTACACAGCAACACAATGCACCTCTCCAACCTCTCCCTCACCCTAACCCACAAGCACATGCATTGGCCCAACCGCTCCCTACCCTGACCACCAAGCCTAAGCCTAACCAACCCCCCCCACAGTCCAAACAGAGACAGACTCCCCCAACCAAACGCTCCACCAAACCCAAACCCACACCCACAGTCTTTCCTGACCCCACTCCTCTACACGAACCCATCCCCCAACCCTCACCTGCACACACATTCATCTAACAACTCCTATGCAAACCTGAACACTCACCATACCTCCAATCTACACCCACACTCACTCGTAAGCCACTCCATAACAACAAGCCCTACATGACCCAGCACACCAATGCAAACTCATCCCGACAGCCATTCTCCACCCCTAACCTCCACGCACGTTCGTCTGCGCAACCGCTCTACAACACTACCCCTACTCCACACAAACACTCACTTCTACACCTCCACCCTCTCCCTCACCCACACCCACATTCACTTTGACACCACTGCCATAACCCAAACCCATTCCCTAAACCAACACTCACCCACCACTCATCTCTGGACCCATTTCCTAACCCTAACCCCTCCAAAAACCCTAACCCAATCCCCTTCTACACCCAATCCCCAACTCTAACATTGACCCCAATGCATGTCTACACGCACTCCCGAACCACTTGCCTAACACTACACCGAACCCCAACCCATTTCCACACCCATTGCCTAACCCTTTCCCTAACCGTAAGCTACACCCCCATCCATGGGCACACCCACTCCCAAACCCCTTTGCAAACCCTGATCACACCCTAATCCTTCTGCACGCCTCTTCCCGAACCCAAACCCCCTCCCTAACCCAAACACAGACCCCAGTGCACTCGTGCAGCCCCTAACCCAAACCTGGACACCACTCCCCTCACACAACCATTCCCTAATCCTGACACTTTCCCTACCCCTAACCTGGACTCACATTTCCTTGCCAAACTCCTCCCCAACCCTAACCCTTTGCCAACCCCATACCCCAACCCACTCATGCCCCTATTTCCTAACCCCTCCCCTTTGCCCAACCCAACCACAACCCTGATGCGCTTCTGCATCTCTTCCCTCACCTTAATCCTTTCCCTAAGATGAACCTGCACCCTCATCCACTTCTACAACTCTTCCCTAATGCAAACCCATTGCCTAACCCTAACCCAAACCCCAATCTGCTTCTACACCCATTCCCTACCCACAGCACTTTGCCTCACCTGACCCCGCACCCCGATCTCCTCCTACAACACAGCCCTAACCCTAACCCTCTCTGCGATGCTAAACCACACCCCAATATCATTGCATGCCCATTCCCAAACCCTAACCCTCTCCCTAACCCTAACCCACATTGCCTAACCCTAACCCAAACCCCAATCTGCTTCTACACCCATTCCCTACCCACAGCACTTTGCCTCACCTGACCCCGCACCCCGATCTCCTCCTACAACACAGCCCTAACCCTAACCCTCTCTGCGATGCTAAACCACACCCCAATATCATTGCATGCCCATTCCCAAACCCTAACCCTCTCCCTAACCCTAACCCACACCCCAATCCCCTCGGGCACCCATTCCCTAACCCTCACCCCCTCACTAACCCAAACCTGCACCCCTGTGCAAGTGTACAACTCCTCCTTAACCCTAACCCCCTGCCAAACCCTCACCTCCACCCCTGCACACTTGTGCACCCATCCACTAACCCAAACCCCCTGCCTAACCCTAACCTGGACCCCTCTGCACTTGTCCGACCGTTCCCTACCCCCACCCCCCGCCTAACCCTAACGTGAACCCCTGTCCACCCGCGCACCTCTACCCTCACCCTAAACCCCTACCTACTCTAACCTGGAACCCTCACCACTTCTGCACGTCGTCCCTAATGCGAACTCCTGCCCAACGGTCACCCACACCACCGTAAACTTGCGCACCCATTTCTGAACCCTCACACCCTGCCTCACCCTAACCCGGACCACTCTACCCCTGTTCCTCAAACCGAAACCACCGCCTAACCCGAACCTGCACCCCCGTGCACGTGTCACCCCGGTCCATAACCCCACACCTCTACATACCCCTAACCCAGCCTCCCGTGCGCTCATGCACGCAGTGCCTAACCCCAACCCCCTGCCAAAGCCTAACCTTCACCCCTGTCCACTTTGCCCCTCTTCCCTAACCCTCAACTCCACCCCAACCCTAACCTGGACCCCTGTGCACCTGTCAATCCGTTTGCTAACCCTAACCCCCTGCCTAACCCCAACCTGGGACCCTGTGCACTTGCGCACGCCTTCCCGAATCCGAAACCCCTGCCAACCCGAAACCCGGACCACCGTACACTTCTGAATCTACTCCCAAACCCTAAAGCCCTGCCTCACCCTAACCCACACCGCTGTGCACTTGTACACCCGTTCCTCAACCCCAAACCCCTGCCTAACCCTAACCAGGAACCCTGTTCACTCGTGAACCTCTTCCCTAACCCAAACCCCTGGCCCGACCCTAACTTGGGCCGCTGTCAACTTGTACACCACTTCCCTAACCCCAACCCCCTGCCTAACACTAACCTTGACCCCTGTGACCTTGCACACCCGTTCCCTCACCCTAATCCCTGGCCTAACCCTAACCTGGGCCCCTGGGCACTCGCGGACCTCTTCCCTAACCCTAAACCCCTACCTGCCCCTAACCTGGAAACCGGAGCACTTGCGGACCCGCTCCCTAATCCTAACCCCCTGTCCAACCCTGACCCAGACCCCCGTGCACTTCCGCACTGATTTCCTAACCCTCACCAATTGCCTAACCCTAACCCGGACCACTGTGCACCTGTGCACCTGTTCCTGAAACCCAAACCCCTGCCTCACCCTAACCTGCACCCCTGTGCACTCGTGGAGCCGTTCCCTAGCCCCAAACCCCTGCCTAAGCCGCACCTGCATGCCCGTGCACTCGTGCACCCGTTCCCTAACCCTAACCCCCTGCCAAAGCCTAACCTGCACCCCTGTCCACTTTTCAACCCGTTCCCTAACCCTCAACTTCTGCCTAACCCTAACCTGGGGCCCTCTGCACCTGTGCACCTGTTCCCGAAGCCCCTGCCTAAACCCAACCGGGACGCCAGTGCACATGCAGACCCCTTCCCTAATCTAAAACCCCTACCTAACCACAAACTGGACGGCCATACACTTGCGTGCACCTGTTCCCAAGCCCCTGCCTAACCCGAACCAGGACCGCTGCGCACTTGCGCACCCGCCCCTCAAACCGAAACCCCGCTCAAACCCTAACCTGCAACCCTGTTCACTCGCGGACCGGTTCCCTCAACCTAACCCCCCTGCCTAACCCTAACCCAGACTCCCGTGCACTCGTGGACCCATTCCCTAACTCTAACCCCCGACCGAACCCTAACCTGAGCCCCTGTGCACTCGTGCGCCCATTCCCTAACCCCAACCCCCCTCCTAACCCCAAGCTGGACCACTGTGCACGCGTGCACCCGTTCCCTAACCCCCTGCCTACTCCTAACCTGGACCCCTATGCACTTGTGCATCCCTTCCCCAATCCTAATCCCTCGCCTCGCCGTAACCCAAACCCCCCTGCACTTCTGGACCTATGCCCAAACCCTAACCCCCTGCCTAAACCTAACCTGCACCCCTGTCCACTTGCGCACACGTTCCTAAACCCTAACCCCCTGCCTAATGCTAACCTGCACCCCTCTGCACTCATGGACCTCTTCCCTAACCCCCGCCTAACCCTAACATGCACTCCTGTGCACTCATGGACCCTTTCCCTAACCCTAACCCCCTGCCGAGCCCTAACCTGGACCCCTGTGCACTCGTGCACCTCTTCCCTAACCC